GCAATTTCTGAACCACAGTGTTGATACACAAACAGACACTGCGCACTGTTTACACTCATCACAACTGCAGTGTCTTGTTTAAGTTGCATCACCTCAATTATAGTGCAATTAGCCTAGGTTATCATCAACAAGATAAGACAAACTTCGTTCAAACATAAGTCAAGGTAAATGGTTCAGTAGTCTACGCTGTCAGAGATTCTTACTAATTTTATGTTATACTATCAGCTCAGATTCTTACATGATACTGAAGCACTTTTACGGGCAGGAAATTCACACGGACACAGCATGCTCACGGTCCAAGAAGTGCTCCAAAAATGCTCACCATCCAGCCTTTCTAGAAAAAGATGACTGGGATCACGTTTAACCTACAAACTTTAACCTACCAAAAAAAGTTTAATTTCCCCATGGACCTGAAGGCCCCCATTGGATGAACGAACGAATGAATGAATGATTTAATGTTTAGATACTTCAGATTTAATTTTAAATTTACATTTAGTCATTTAGCAGACACTTTTATCCAAAGCAACTTACAAATGAGGACAATAAAAGCAGTCAAAATCAACAAAAGAGCAATGATATGCAAGTGCCATTCCTGTTGAAAAAAAACAGCATATGCTGGTTAGGTATGTTTTGACACTGGTCATTAAGATTAAACTGGTCCTTTGCTGGTTTAAGCTGGTCCTTTGCTGGTTTATGCTGGTCCTTTGCTGGTTTAAGCTGGTCCTTTGCTGGTTGCTCACCATCCAGCCTTTCTAGAAAAAGATGACTGGGATCACGTTTAACCTACAAACTTTAACCTACCAAAAAAAGTTTAATTTCCCCATGGACCTGAAGGCCCCCATTGGATGAACGAACGAATGAATGAATGATTTAATGTTTAGATACTTCAGATTTAATTTTAAATTTACATTTAGTCATTTAGCAGACACTTTTATCCAAAGCAACTTACAAATGAGGACAATAAAAGCAGTCAAAATCAACAAAAGAGCAATGATATGCAAGTGCCATTCCTGTTGAAAAAAACAGCATATGCTGGTTAGGTATGTTTTGACACTGGTCATTAAGATTAAGCTGGTCCTTTGCTGGTTTATGCTGTTCCTTTGCTGGTTTATGCTGGTCCTTTGCTGGTTTAAGCTGGTCCTTTGCTGGTTTATACTGGTCCTTTGCTGGTTTATGCTGGTCTTTTGCTGGTTTATGCTGGTTCTTAGCTGGTTTAAGCTGGTCCTTTGCTGGGTTAAGCTGGTCCTTTGCTGGTTTATACTGGTCCTTTGCTGGTTTATGCTGGTCTTTTGCTGGTTTATGCTGGTTCTTAGCTGGTTTAAGCTGGTCCTTTGCTGGGTTAAGCTGGTCCTTTGCTGGTTTATACTGGTCCTTTGCTGGTTTATGCTGGTCTTTTGCTGGTTTATGCTGGTTCTTAGCTGGTTTAAGCTGGTCCTTTGCTGGGTTAAGCTGGTCCTTTGCTGGTTTATACTGGTCCTTTGCTGGTTTATGCTGGTCTTTTGCTGGTTTATGCTGGTTCTTAGCTGGTTTAAGCTGGTCCTTTGCTGGGTTAAGCTGGTCCTTTGCTGGTTTATACTGGTCCTTTGCTGGTTTATGCTGGTCTTTTGCTGGTTTATGCTGGTTCTTAGCTGGTTTAAGCTGGTCCTTTGCTGGGTTAAGCTGGTCCTTTGCTGGTTTATACTGGTCCTTTGCTGGTTTATGCTGGTCTTTTGCTGGTTTATGCTGGTTCTTAGCTGGTTTAAGCTGGTCCTTTGCTGGGTTAAGCTGGTCCTTTGCTGGTTTATACTGGTCCTTTGCTGGTTTATGCTGGTCTTTTGCTGGTTTATGCTGGTTCTTAGCTGGTTTAAGCTGGTCCTTTGCTGGGTTAAGCTGGTCCTTTGCTGGTTTATACTGGTCCTTTGCTGGTTTATGCTGGTCTTTTGCTGGTTTATGCTGGTTCTTAGCTGGTTTAAGCTGGTCCTTTGCTGGGTTAAGCTGGTCCTTTGCTGGTTTATACTGGTCCTTTGCTGGTTTATGCTGGTCTTTTGCTGGTTTATGCTGGTTCTTAGCTGGTTTAAGCTGGTCCTTTGCTGGCTTAAGCTGATCCTTTGCTGGTTTAAGCTGGTCCTTTGCCAGCACATGCTGGTTTTTTCAACAGGGATAACAAGTCTCAGTTAGCTTAACGCAGTGCACATAGTTTTAATTATATGATAAATAAAAAGAAAACTGATAGAATAGAAAAAGAACAGAGCAAGCTAGTGTTAGAGGCCTTTTTTGCTTTTTGTTAATTGTATAATAAAAGGAAACAAATAGACAGAATACAAAAAGAATAGAGAAGCTAATGTTAGTTTTGAATAGAGTCTAAAGCTTAAAAGGGCAAGTTTTTTTAAGAATAGAATTAGAATAGAGTGCCATTTTTGCAGTTTATTGAAGGTGTATTTAAGGTACAAGTTTCAAACAATAAACTCATTTGTAAAAATTTCAAAAGAATACACACAAAGACAAAAAAGCTTATCCGTCACACAAATACTGTGTGGAGTGAGCAGGATCTACTTAAAAGCTCTGAAAATGGATTTGCTAGGCCTATGTCAGGTCTGTTGAACAACCATCCACCGGCCTGAGCCAGACACAGAGAACAAGCACAGTTGATCCAAATGTGGCTGATATTTGGAAGGGAAAAAAACTGATTGCCAGATCACTTGACCCTAATAATATATAGGTATCTCCTCTATATTGAATTATATAAGTGTGTTCATAAGTGCCTACCGATATAGTTATACTCCATATATATATATATATATATATTTATTTATTTTGTTATCGCACATATCAGGTGAACTATCATTAAATCCCAAAAATAATAATAGAGCTATCCGTACTCTTTGTTACTGTACCTTACGTTTTGTCTCATTGGGTCTCTTTATTGAATGGAAAATTGATTTGCTGGAGAAACGTGTGGTTGTTACCACAGAAATATCATCTTAGAAATAAGATTAAAGAAGTTTCTTATAAGCTTATTCATAGATTTTATCCAGCAAATCATTATTTACAAAAATGTAAAAAAGGAATAAATGTAAATTGTATTTTTTTCTGGTCCTTTGCTGGTTTAAGCTGGTCCTTTGCTGGTTTATGCTGGTCCTTTGCTGGTTTAAGCTGGTCCTTTGCTGGTTTATGCTGGTCCTTTGCTGGTTTAAGCTGGTCCTTTGCTGGTTTATGCTGGTCCTTTGCTGGTTTAAGCTGGTCCTTTGCTGGTTTATGCTGGTCCTTTGCTGGTTTAAGCTGGTCCTTTGCTGGTTTATGCTGGTCCTTTGCTGGTTTAAGCTGGTCCTTTGCTGGTTTATGCTGGTCCTTTGCTGGTTTAAGCTGGTCCTTTGCTGGTTTATGCTGGTCCTTTGCTGGTTTAAGCTGGTCCTTTGCTGGTTTATGCTGGTCCTTTGCTGGTTTAAGCTGGTCCTTTGCTGGTTTATGCTGGTCCTTTGCTGGTTTATGCTGGTCCTTTGCTGGTTTATGCTGGTCCTTTGCTGGTTTATGCTGGTCCTTTGCTGGTTTATGCTGGTCCTTTGCTGGTTTATGCTGGTCCTTTGCTGGTTTATGCTGGTCCTTTGCTGGTTTATGCTGGTCCTTTGCTGGTTTATGCTGGTCCTTTGCTGGTTTATGCTGGTCCTTTGCTGGTTTATGCTGGTCCTTTGCTGGTTTAAGCTGGTCCTTTGCTGGTTTAAGCTGGTCCTTTGCTGGTTTAAGCTGGTCCTTTGCTGGTTTAAGCTGGTCCTTTGCTGGTTTAAGCTGGTCCTTTGCTGGTTTATGCTGGTCGTTTAAGCTTTTAAGCTGGTCCTTTGCTGGTTTATGCTGGTCCTTTGCTGGTTTAAGCTGGTCCTTTGCTGGTTTAAGCTGCTGGTTTACATGCTGGTTTTTTCAACAGGGATAACAAGTCTCAGTTAGCTTAACGCAGTGCACATAGTTTTAATTATATGATAAATAAAAAGAAAACTGATAGAATAGAAAAAGAACAGAGCAAGCTAGTGTTAGAGGCCTTTTTTGCTTTTTGTTAATTGTATAATAAAAGGAAACAAATAGACAGAATACAAAAAGAATAGAGAAGCTAATGTTAGTTTTGAATAGAGTCTAAAGCTTAAAAGGGCAAGTTTTTTTAAGAATAGAATTAGAATAGAGTGCCATTTTTGCAGTTTATTGAAGGTGTATTTAAGGTACAAGTTTCAAACAATAAACTCATTTGTAAAAATTTCAAAAGAATACACACAAAGACAAAAAAGCTTATCCGTCACACAAATACTGTGTGGAGTGAGCAGGATCTACTTAAAAGCTCTGAAAATGGATTTGCTAGGCCTATGTCAGGTCTGTTGAACAACCATCCACCGGCCTGAGCCAGACACAGAGAACAAGCACAGTTGATCCAAATGTGGCTGATATTTGGAAGGGAAAAAAACTGATTGCCAGATCACTTGACCCTAATAATATATAGGTATCTCCTCTATATTAAATTATATAAGTGTGTTCATAAGTGCCTACCGATATAGTCCATATATGGTGTAAGGGCCAACAATATTCAGAGTTTAAGACCTTCTTCACTCCTATGGGAAAATGTACTCTTTGGTTTTACTGACTATCCTGACCAAGAGGAACAGTACTTTTACTTAATTCATTTACTTATTCTATTGACCAAATTTCACATTCATAAGTGTAAATTTACCAATAAAACCCCCAATTTGAGGGTTTTGTTGACTGAAATATTTATATATGTTGACAGTATCAGAGACTCTGTGAACAAGAACGCTGTAAGAACTTTGAAAGTTTGTGAATGTTACAATATATGTATTTGATTTTATATATACGTACAAGTGTGTATGTATGTATATCTTGTATTTTTGTTTTGAAGTTTTATACTTTCCTCCCCCTGGCAATTGTATTTTGTTGTTTGTTGTAATTTGTCCTTCTATCTTTTTTTCTTATTTTAATGTTGTTTCACTGTGTGCTATTGTGCCCTGCAGCGCCTCCAGCGGCGGGGGGGCGGCATCACATGTGCAGACCGAGGGGCGCATAAGCTGCAGCATGGAGGTACTGCTTATCAATATTCCTGAATATCACTGTAACAGTTTGTGTTATCAGTATCCACAGTAATAGATATCTTATGTCAGTGTATTACACTGGCTTTGTGTTAAGAGTGCTGCATTCTGCTGGCATGTTAAACTGCGTGTCTATGACCGAGTCCAGAGCAGATACTGTATGCACGCTCTTCAGCCGCATATATATTCATATTTTCAAATGAAGCACGAGTCTCTAGGTCTTATATTTAACGTTAACGCTGCTCTCTTGAACACCAGATGTGTCGGACGGCTTCTTAACGAGCTGCTAAGTTTGGGCTAACTTCAATAATATGGGGTTGTTGACTAGCGATAACAAAATATCGAACCTGTTTTTTTTTTAATTACATGTCAGTATAAAATACAAAAATTGGGATTTAATGTTTTTCTTTTAATATTAACACTAACAATATGGAGGAAACGCTGAAAGTAAATCTAAAATGGCGCATGGAATATTCTAGACGCTCATCAGCCGCCGGGTTGTTTCCAGTCGTCTCCTCGGGAACTTAGCTTTTGTTTTGGGAAATCCTGGACAGATACCCACTCTGTTCCTTTAGATGTAATTCGATATTAGAAACCTATTAGAGACCAGCGGCTAAAATACCGATCTGACCGGTTATCAGCAGTGTTGTGGGTAACGCATTACAAGTAACGCGCGTTACGTAATCAGATTACTTTTTCAAGTAACTAGTAAAGTAACGCATTACTTTTTAATTTACAAGAGAATATCTGAGTTACTTTTTCAAATAAGTAACACAAGTCACTTTTTCTCCAATGTATTGACTGACAGCTCTGGTGTCCCCATGCTGAGAGAAATCAGTAGTTCTAAAATAAATATGAATATGCATTAATTAATCTCACTCACAAAAACACTACGTAATCAGATTACTTTTTCAAGTAACTAGTAAAGTAACGCATTACTTTTTAATTTACAAGAGAATATCTGAGTTACTTTTTCAAATAAGTAATGCAAGTAACTTTTTTTCCAATGTATTGACTGACAGCTCTGGTGTCCCCATGCTGAGAGAAATCAGTAGTTCTAAAATAAATATGAATATGCATTAATTAATCTCACTCACAAAAACACAGATTCAGTATTCCTCAAAATGAATAAAAATAATGCAACTCAGAATATGACACAAACCTGCAATAATTAAATGTTAAACAACACAAATATCCTTTATGTGTTTAATCCCGTTCTATTAACCAATGTCTTTGCTCCGGTTCAAGCGTACTAATAAGCAGAAATTACTCTAGACAACATTTGTGTCTTTGTTTATTGCTGAAGTGTTGAAATGTCTTCTTCTGCATTCTACTGTACGGACATGCATTTACTTTCCCTTCAGCCTGAGGCTTATTCATTTCACTTTTGGTGTGAAAAGGCTTTTATATTTGCCAAAAATAGAACTTTTTTATTTTAAAAACAAGTAAGCAAGCCCGGTCCAGATTTAACAAGTAACGCAGAAGTAACGTAACGCATTACTTTCCATAAAAAGTAACTAAGTACCGTAATTAGTTACTTTTTTTATGGAGTAACCCAGTATTGTAATGCATTACTTTTAAAAGTAGCTTTCCCCAACACTGGTTATTATTGGTTACTATGATCTTACTTTGGTTTAGCTCATGAATATGAACAAAGCTTATGCTGATGTTGCGGCGTAGTTTTCCTGGAACATCCAATCACGCACCCTAATTAATATTCATAAGCCGAGCCTACGCCCAACTTTTAGCGTTAGTCTTTCAGCTAATCGTTAGGGATTGGAGAGCTCACGTCACTCAATCGAATGAATAATATATATCCGCCGAATTTGGCAGAAGCATGGCCCATCCATCCATCACCCACACAGAGAAAGCAAACCAGCTCTGCGGTTTGAAAGCTGGAATCAATGAAGGTGTCATTATCAGCTTTATACAATTCTTTTAATAGCGTTAGAGTATTATGTTACACAGAGGGCATGCCCTAGGGGCCAGTTTTATCAGTCTAATGACGCATATTTCTAAAGAGGCAAAAGTTCAAGTCTGATTATTAATTGTGTGTTTTATGTGAACAGGGTGGTGACGGTAAGGAGCCGGAGCAGCTCAGGAAGCTGTTTATCGGCGGACTCAGTTTTGAGACCACAGAGGACAGTTTGCGAGCTCACTTTGAGCAATGGGGCAAACTCACTGACTGTGTGGTGAGAGACAGACCTTCAGATCACATTTAGGATTTGATTCATAGCTAATTCTAATCGTTTTGCAGTGTGTCTGCATCAGGAACAGACCGCTAGAAGCCAGCTTTAATAATAAATGTCAATAAAATTCAAAAAGTACCAGGGTATTCTGTGAAGCATCCATACAAATACCATGGAGTGTGAATATGTAATGCTATTGCCACAGTATTAAGAAGGAATAATTAAAACGAACCATGGAATTATGCAAAATCAGTTCAGTCGCAGCCATGCTGATGTTTAATATTGTGGCCGCGTACAACCCTCTTGCTCCTGTGATACTGCTTAAAGAAAATAATTCACCCAAAAATGAAAATCTGCTAAAAATGTACTCACCCTGAAGCCATCCAAGATATAGAGAGTTTGTTTCTTCATCAGATGTGGAGAAATGTAGCATTGCATCACTTGCTCACCAGTGGATGCTCTGCAGTAAATGGGTGCCGTCAGAACGAGAGTCCAAACAGTCCATTAATGAACATCTTGTGAAGCGAAAAGCTGAATGTTTGTTAGAAACAAATTCATAATTAAGGCCTTTTAATTTAAAACTGTTACTTCTGGCCAAACTTTGAGTCCGTAATCCATAATAATGATTCCTCCAGTGAAAAAGTTCATCCACTGTTGTCCTTTCACATCAAAATCCACCAACATATTTGTTTAGAACTGATATCGCTTGTAAATGGTGCTTGATATGTGCATATTTCTCTCCTGATTTATCTGTAAACAAGGGTTTTAAGTTAAAAACACCTTATGTTTTTGTTACAAATGCACAGTTTTTCACTTCTCAAGACATTAACTGATGGACTGGAGTGGTGTGGATTATTGTGATGTGTTTATCTGCTGTTTGGACTCTCACTCTGATGGCACCCATTCACTGCAGAGCATCCATTGCTGAGTAAGTGATGCAATGCTACATTTCTCCACATCCGTTCCCATGAAGAAACAATACAAACTCATCTACATCTTGGATGGCCTGAGGGTTCGTGAATTTTCATTAAAAATGTATTTTTGGGTGAACTATTCCTTTAAATAAGTAACACCTTAGAACATCTGTAAGTCAGCCAATCAGAATCAATCAGCCAAACAGTCCTGTGGCGTAAATGCATATAGATATAGTAATAATAATAACACCAATAAAAGCACTGTTGATAATGCCATCAATGATTATCTTTCCTCAGGTAATGAGAGATCCAGCTAACAAGCGCTCACGAGGTTTCGGCTTTGTGACGTATTCCTGTGTAGCGGAGGTTGATGCTGCTATGGCAGCGCGGCCACACAAAGTGGACGGTCGAGTCGTTGAGCCCAAACGAGCCGTTTCCCGAGAGGTGCCGTTACATACATTTAAAGGAACATGCCACTATTTTTGAGAATAGGCTAGTTTTCCAGCTCCCCTAGAGTTAAACAGTTGAGTTTTACCGTTTTCGAATCCATTCAGCCGATCTCCGGGTTTGGCGGTAGCACTTTTAGCTTAGCTTAGCATAGATCATTGAATCTGATTAGACCGTTAGCATCGCGCTCAAAAATGACCAAAGAGTTTCGATATGTTTCCTATTTAAAACTTGACTCTTCTGTAGTTACATCATGTACTAAGACCGACGGAAAATTAAAAGTTGCCTATTTTCAGGCGCTGCGTAATATCATTGCGCCTGTTAATACAAGTTTTAAATAGGAAAAATATAGAAACTCTTTGGTCATTTTTGAGCGAGATGCTAACGGTCTAATCAGATTGCACAACATTTGTGACTCACTCACAGTGCACTCACAATTCTGAGAAATGAAGTCCGAATTGTGAGTCAAAAAAAAGATAAGAACATATTTGATTCAATGGCTTCCTTACAAACCTTTTCATAATTTACTCTAAAATTAAGATGCATTTAATCAAGATGAAATTAAATGAATTTTCTTTGATTATGCAGGACTCCAATAAACCTGGAGCCCATCTGACAGTGAAAAAGATCTTTGTGGGTGGAATCAAGGAGGACACAGAGGAGTATCATATCAGAGAGCACTTTGAGTGCTATGGGAAGATTGAGATTATTGATATAATGGAGGAGCGTTCAACTGGGAAAAAGAGAGGATTCTGCTTCGTCACCTTTGATGATCACGATGCTGTGGATAAAATTGTTGGTGAGCTTAGATGAAAACCATTTACTTTTAGCTGCTACAGCAGAATCAGGTTTTATGGGTAAATGACATGTCCTCATCTAGATGGAGATGATTCTTTTGTAGTTGTTATGAATGCAGCTTTTATGAACTTGTTCAGTTACAAATATTAAAATGCTTGCAAAATACCGTTTAAGTGATTGCATAAATTTACTCAAATTAAATCCCAATGAAACATTAAAACAAACAAGTTACCTTATAAATTTTCACATAAAATCATGTTACTGATATATAAAAGTTCATGGGCATGGTATGCGTCATCTACCCCGAGTATGACAGAACAGCAAGAAATACTAGTTCATACAGGTTTTCAGATTTCTCTTTTTCCTTTTTCATCAGCACAGAAATATCACACAATCAACTCGCATAACTGTGAAGTCAGAAAAGCACTACCGAAGCAGGAGATGCAAGCTGTTTCTAATCAGAGATGTAAGTAACATGTTTCAAATCGAACTGCCTTTCTGATTCTCATTTTTATAATTAGGTTTATTATGTTACTGAAATATTCAAGTTGTCGTAGGTAATAATATATAACATGTTTTCTGTTGTCAGATCGCGGTGGAGGCAATTTCATGGGCAGAGGAGGAGGAAACTTTGGCCGAGGTGAGATGACATGCGATCCTGTACATCTGATCCTGTGTGTGTCGATTACATCTACAGTTTGTACAGCAGCACCTCAGGTGTGAATAAAACACAGTGAATGCTGTATCTTTCACAGGAGGGTATGGAGGAGGCCGGGGTGGCTGTGGAGGAGATGGATACAATGGATTTGGTGGGGACAATATCATTATACTAACATGAGCAATGAATAAATCCACACTCCCTTGTAAAACTTGCTGTTAATTTGTGCCAGAAGGGCTTCTTTGCCAGAACAGTATATTTTTGAAATGGCTGCTTTGTTTGTAGTCACTGATTGAAATAGAGAATCACTGTATGGATAAGCATAAGGACATTTTCAAAGCTCAAAAAATGTATTTTTCCTGTTATGAAGTCGATCATTTCATGAAGCTCAGACTGAAATGATTAGCGCTGAAGTACAGGTTTAGGATGTGTCTCTGGTGGTAGGTGGTAATTATGGTGGGGGTCCTGGAGGATGCGGTGGAGGTCCTGGATACGGGAACCAAGGCGGAGGAGGCTTTGGAGGATATGACAATTACAATGATGGAGGAAATTTTGGAGGTACAGTTTCATTCAAGTGAAGACAAATATTTGAGATGGGGTTGGAGGGGCGGGGTTTAAAAGAAGAGGTCTCAGTGATGTCATCCAAAAAGGAAATTGTTTCAGAGGCGGAGCAAGTTTTTGTTAAAGATGATAAAAGCAAACTTTTTTTGTAGCAACACGGGCCAGTGAATCATTAAATTGAATCTTTACTTTGTTGATTAAATTGAAAAAGAAAAGAGAGTTTGAGTTTGGAGAACAATTTTTTTTAACGTTTTTGAAAGAACTCTCTTATGCTCACCAAGGGTGCAATTAATGAAGCAAAAATACAGTAAAAATTGTGAAATATTATTATAAGTTAAAATAAATGTATTCTAATTGAATATATTTTAAAATGTAATTTATTTCTGTGATGCAAAGCTGAATTTCCAGCATCATTACTCTAGTCTTCATGATCCTTCAGAAATCATTCTAATTTGTGACCCTGCACCACAAAACCAGTCATAAGGGTGAGTTTTTCGAAATTGAGATGTATACATCATCTGAAAGCTGGATAAATAAGCTTTCCATTGATGTATGGTTTGTTAGGATAGGACAATATTTGGCCGAGATACAACTATTTGAAAATCTGGAATCTGAGGGTACAAAAAAATCTAAATATTGAGAAAATCATCTTTAAAGTTGTCCAAATGAAGTTCTTAGCAATGCATATTACTAATCAAAAATTAAGTTTTGATATATTTACGGTAGGAAATTGACATAATATCTTCATGGTACATGATCTTTACTTAATATCCTAATGATTTTTGGCATAAAAGAAAAATCAATCATTTTGACCCATACATTGTATTGTTGGCTATTGCTACAAATATACCCCAGCGACTTAACACTGCTTTTGTGCTCCAGGGTCACATATGATTTGTTGATTATTATCGATTTTTAAAACCGTTCAGCTGCTTAATATTTTTGTGGAATCCGTGATACATTTATTTTCAGGATTTTTTATTTTTTTGATGAATAGAATGTTCAAAAGAACAGCATTTATTTGAAATAGAAATCTTTTAATATCTTCATGGTACATGATCTTTACTTAATATCCTGATGATTTTTGGCATAAAAGAAAAATCAATCATTTTGACCCATACATTGTATTGTTGGCTATTGCTACAAATATACCCCAGCGACTTAAGATTGCTTTTGTGCTCCAGGGTCACATATGATTTGTTGATTATTATCGATTTTTAAAACCGTTCAGCTGCTTAATATTTTTGTGGAATCCGTGATACATTTATTTTCAGGATTTTTTTTTTTTTTTGATGAATAGAATGTTCAAAAGAACAGCATTTATTTGAAATAGAAATCTTTATAATGGCATGGGCGCCTTGGGCAGGTGTTTTTTTCAAGTCCAAAAGTAGTCAAATAAAGCGCATCCATCCATAATAAACAGTTCCTGACTTCTTTTGGACTGTTGAATAAAAAACACCCGCCCATGCCATTATGAAGCTTGGAAGAGCCAGGACAATTTTTAATATAACTCCGAATGGATTCGTCTGAAAGAAGAAAGTCATATACACCTAGGATGCTTCGAGGGTGAGTAAAACATGGGCTAATTTTCATTTTAGGCGGAACTAACCCTTTAACCCAAATTTGTACCTGCATCGTAGGTAACTTTGGTGGTGGAGGTGGAGGCGGCGGCGGAGGACGAGGAAATTACAACGATTTTGGGAATTACGCAGGACAACAGTCCAACTGCGGCCCCATGAAGGGAAATAACTTTGGAGGAAGAAACTCAGGACCTTACGGAGGTACAGAAAATCCAGTACACTGCGTGCCACATCAAAAGTGAACCCACTGTGTGTGAGCCTGATCATGTGTTCTGATTGTTATATTTAGGTGGAAACGGCTCTGGGGGCGGCGGCGGGGGCTATGGGCCCAGGAGATATTAACAGATCGGTTTGTCTGTGGTAAGTTCAGCACTGCCTCAAGAGACTCCACAGACGTCTAACACGGGATGACTTGTGATGTTTTACCCTGTGTCTGTTCAACAGGCCTCAGATCCAGAGTTAGATGAGAGGAGTGGGAAGGAAAGGAAAGATTACTGAGAAAGTGTGCGAGGGGCCAAGATCTGCCAGTTATAGGTCTTACTAACGTTAGTGTAGTCAGACGCTCCTCAACTTGTGTGTGTGTGCTAGTGGATGTACATTCCTTCACCCGCTTGACTTTTCTGTGCTTTTCACCTATCCTCAGCCCCTTGTGAGCATTTTTGAGAGTGCTGCCAAACACTGTAGTCAGAATAGTCCTAAATATTATTTGATGTGAGTATACAATATGTGAGTATACAATATGCCTTAAGTATATTATTTGGAGAAAACAGGACTTGTTTATTTTTTGATTTGACGACGGTGATGTCACGTGTATTATTATATATTGTGAGTATGTAGTACATGTGTTGTTCATGAAGCTCTGAATGGTAAACGGAGTAGATTTTGTCAGATCTGAGGGCATGTGACATGTTAAACCTGTAAAGAGAGAAGTCTAGATTGTTGAACTATTTTTGACAAATGAAAAAAGAAACTGGCTGAAATAAAGTTGTGTAGTAACTTGCCTAACGAAGTTCAGTGCGTCATTGAGTCTGAAGTGGCGAGTGCCGCTGTCCTGAGCGCGTGTTGTTGTGTATGAGCGTAGAAAGGCCTCCAGGCCCAGACAGACGAACAGTTATGGGCTCTCAGACTGGCAGGTCGATCCCAGCCTCGACTGGACCAGGCAGCCAGTGTGTCTCCAGAAAACTAGCATCTGTTTCGGTGAGACTAGCTGTACCCGAAGGAAGGAAGGCTAGCGGAAAGCCCACGAGTATGAGGGTTTGAGACAGACAGAAGAAGAGGAAGAAAGAGTCATAGGAGCAGGTAAGAGTAACTCCTCTGCTTAATTTACAGATGGGAAAAGCAGCGCCTGATCGACAGTAAGTGGCTGAAAGCCTTTTATGACACGGTTTCAGCGGTGGTTCTGGATGGGTAAGATTAATGTGTGCAAAATATATGTGGATTTGGTCAAGATATCCTCCTGCAGAGATTCAGAAACTGCATTCAACTCAATTATTGCACATTGTGTGTGGCATAATCTCACTAAAGCTGACATTTCCAGGTATATTTATATTAGTGCTGTCAAACGATTAATCGCGATTAATCGCATCCAAACAGGTTTTTGTTTACATAATATATGTGTGTGTACTGTGTATATTTATTATGCATATACAAATACACACACATGCAGTATATATTTTGAAAATATTAACATGTATATATTTATATTATATATAAATATATTTAATATATAAACATAACATATTTTTCTTAAATATATACATGCATGTGTGTGTATTTGTATATGCATAATAAATATACACAGTACACACACATATATTATGTAAACAAAAACCTTTATTTTGGATGCGATTAATCGCGATTTATCGTTTGACCGCACCAATTTATATACGTTATTTTACATGTATTTGTATAAATTATTTATATTTAATAATTTTTATTTATTTATTTGTGGTGCAACAGAATTTTTATCATAATTAGGCACAATTCCTCCGATTCTTAAAAAAGTCTAATTCTCTTTACTGAAATGTGGGGAAAGAATTATATTTGAAATGAGTCAATTATTTAGACATCATATTGTGCTGCCTTTATGCTGATTGTGATTGCATTGCGATTTAAAAAAATATTTTTAATTGAAATTGTACGTAACATGGTTTTGAGGCATGGTCGCATTAGCGAAACTTAAATTCTGGTCGCAATTACCATTTTCCGGCAAATTTTAGCTTGCAAAATCCAGTAATTTCAATAGAAATTCAATTCGGCGTGCGGGCGAAAGATTTTTCCACACAGATTTCGCAACGGGTTCAGGTTGGTCAAGTGGATTTGCTGCTGTGCTCAAACTGAAATCTGCTTGGTTTGAACGTGACTAACGTGTAAGCTGTGCTCCATACATCTCTAGACTAATTGCAATAGACAATGAAAGACTTTTTGCCTGCGAAATTTTGCTATTATGAACACACCTCTAGGCGAAATTTCATTGTCAAAGTTGATTGTCAATCGCGTAACGGTGAATGAAACAGCACTTTCCAATCCAAGCAGCTTTATATTGGTCCACGCAGAGAATTTGCGTGTCAAAAGTATAACAAAATCAGATCTGTTGTGCAATCCACATGGGGAACACGTCAAACAAGTGAAATTCCCAATCATGCAGATTCCTGTTGAGATGACTGAATTTTGTCGTAGAAAGGTAAATGTGTCAGAAGTACTGATAATCTAATGAATCATCATTGAGAATAATGTGAATTACAAAACTAAGTAAAAAGTCATATTATGGTAATATGAATTTAGATGTAAGAACTAATTTAAAGAATTTAGTGCCAGATTTACTAACAGCTTGCGCCAGTGCAAACCGTCTTTTGGCATTAAAATATATACTATAGTAGGCCTACTGTCAGGAGTTAGGCCTACTAAATTAGTGCCGAAAATAGACACGGTTATTTTGGCTCGTGACCTTATTGAATATACATTTATAGGAGTTTCCCTATCAGACACAAAATTTATGGGAGGAGAGTATTAAAATTGGTATTTGCGCTATTATTTAATGCCCCCAAAAAAGCATATCTTAAACTATCACCAGCACCTGATGAGCATCGGCTCTGCTTTTTTCTTCTCTGCGACTACGCTTATTTGCGCTGCGCTTGGTATATTTAGTAGGTCAGTATGTAAACGAGACGTTGCGTCGGTGTTCTTTAATTTGTGCGTTGTCAGTAAATCACCAGCAGAAATTTCCACACCCATCGGCGCTGTTTTGAATTGCGCTAGTTTGCCCGGTTTAGTAAATCTGGCCCTTAATCTTGAGAAAATTTGGAAAGGCTAAGATTGGCTGGCAGCACACCTTAGATTTGTTGTTTTAGTGTGGTTCCTTCAGTGTACGTATTTGCTGAACCTTCACTCGTATCTCAGATATCTTTTGTCTGATATCAATCACTTGACAGCAACTTTAATGAACTGTGAACATTTTATTCTGTCGTTATTAAAAGCATTGATTCTAGATGTTCATAACAGGACAGGTTCTAACTCACTATACTCTTTAGTATATATATTTTTTGATATGTTCATGCAGGGTAAATCCATGTATATTTACACATACTTTATAGTCATAAAACACCACTCATAATGTCAGAATGAATAACTGGGATTTTGTTTAATAAAAACATTTTTAAAAAAAACACAAGAATGTTTAATTTACTGTGTTTGTGTTGTTTCTGTGTGAGTGCAGGGCCTTTTCTTCTCACGCAATGCTTATCTTACTCCAAAACCTGTCATGGGGACTTTGGTCCCTTGACACTGAATCAAGGTCACAAGCAAGCGTTTCTTCTGCTTGTCTTTGGTAAAGGGAGGTTTGGAGTGGCCGCTGGCCTCCGCCGGCTCTATCTTTTGGTTCTTCGCTTTCATCTCCTGTTTGTCTGCTGGAGGTTTCTCTGAGAGAGATCCCTGCGCTCCGTCGTTAAGGTAAACCAGCGGGAATATCTCTGTATAATCTGACTCCATGCCTCCCGGACTATTGTCCATCTCTTCAGAGTCGGAGTCGCTAAAACCAAAGGATTCATCTCCGTTCAAGGACTTCCCCGGAGAGCTCATGTGAGGACTGTAATCCAGCGACAAGCCGGAATCAGAATCTGGGAATTCGGCCATAGGCTCTGGTTTTCCTGAGCTGAAGCTTCCAGGTGAGAAGCTGTGCAGATCCATGGTGTTCACAGGAGGATCACTGGAGATCTCCGCCAATTGGCTGACCATATTTCCTCCATCAGAGACGAGAGGACCACCATTCACTTTAACCTCTATCTCAGGATAAAACAGCTCATTGAATTCTTCAGGTCTAAACTCGGCCCCCACCTCCGGGACGTTCAGACTCATCTGGCTGAGGTTGGGCGACACCATAGTGTTGAAGGATCCATCGTATGTGTTGATGTATTCGGGAGGACACACCTCTGTCTGCACCGACAAGAGATGGTCCATCCCGGGCAGGTATTGGCTGTAGTTTGGGTCCTGTGCTTCTACGGAGGGTTTCATATCCAACGACTCCTGCATCTGCATGTTGAGGCACTGCTAAAAATACAAAAGAACAGCATGTGAACATTGTAATCCAAAGTGAAGACACACTGTATGAGACAAACAATATGAGTCTACTATTAAAGTTCACTTCCAGAGTAAAAATTGCCTGATAATTTACTCATCCCCATGTCATTCAAGATGTACATGACTGACTTTCTTCAGTCACAAAGAAATTAAGTTTTTTGAGGAAAACATTTCAGGATTTTTGGACTTGGAGTGGACTTCAATGGCGATCAATGGGTTAAAGGTCCAAATTGCAGCTTCAAAGAGCTCTACATGATCCCAGCCAAGGAATAAGGGTCTTATCTAGCAAAACGATCTGCCATTTTTTAAAAAAGTAAACCTTTATATACTTTTTAACCACAAATGCTCGTCTTGCACTAGCTCTGCAATGTGCGTCCACGAATTCAAGCATTGCGTAATCACGTTGTAAAGGTCACACGTGGTTAGTTCTTCATGTGTACTTGGGTTAAAAAGGTGGGGTAGGGCGAAAAACTCCATATCATTTTCTCCTCCCAACTTCAAAATCATCTGACATTGTTGTTTTAACTTTTTTTGGTAAAGGGCGTTTGATTAGTCTTTGCTCATTCGATTTGTAAACACTGGGTTGGTACTTCTACCTACATCACACATACGTAATTACATAATGCGTGAAGTCGTGGACGCAGAGCTAGTTCAAGACAAGCATTTGTGGTTAAGAAGTATATAATTAAATTTAAAAAAATTTTTTTAGAAAATGACCCATTGTTTCGCTAGATAATACACTTATTCCTCATTTGGGATAATGTAAAGCCCTTTGAAGCTACATTGAAGCAATTTGGACCCTCAACCCATTGGCCAACATTGAAGTCCACTATATGGAGGAAAATCCTGGAATGTTTTCCTCAAAAACCTTTAATTTCTTCGCGACTGAAGAAAGAAAGACATGAACATCTTGGACGACATGGGGGTGAGTAAATTATCAGGAAATTTTCATTCTGGAAGTGAACTTCTCCTTTAAGACTTTTTCACATTGTCTGGCAAATTGGCAAAGTTACAGTTTGAACTTCGAGTGTTTCCACACTTGACCTGCTCAGTTACGTAGCAAGCTTGATGCTTCTCTCCACAGAGCTCAGTGCACTGGGGAATGCTGACGCGAGTCATATGACAGGACCTTAGTTTCATATCCAACGACTCCTGCATCTGCATGTTGAGGCACTGCTAAAAATACAAAAGAACAGCATGTGAACATTGTAATCCAAAGTGAAGACACACTGTATGAGACAAACAATATGAGTCTACTATTAAAGTTCACTTCCAGAGTAAAAATTGCCTGATAATTTACTCATCCCCATGTCATTCAAGATGTACATGACTGACTTTCTTCAGTCACAAAGAAATTAAGTTTTTTGAGGAAAACATTTCAGGATTTTTGGACTTGGAGTCGACTTCAATGGCGATCAATGGGTTAAAGGTCCAAATTGCAGCTTCAAAGAGCTCTACATGATCCCAGCCAAGGAATAAGGGTCTTATCTAGCAAAACGATCTGCCATTTTTTAAAAAAGTAAACCTTTATATACTTTTTAACCACAAATGCTCGTCTTGCACTAGCTCTGCAATGTGCGTCCACGAATTCAAGCATTGCGTAATCACGTTGTAAAGGTCACACGTGGTTAGTTCTTCATGTGTACTTGGGTTAAAAAGGTGGGGTAGGGCGAAAAACTCCATATCATTTTCTCCTCCCAACTTCAAAATCATCTGACATTGTTTTAACTTTTTTTGGTAAAGGGCGTTTGATTAGTCTTTGCTCATTCGATTTGTAAACACTGGGTTGGTACTTCTACCTACATCACACATACGTAATTACATAATGCGTGAAGTCGTGGACGCAGAGCTAGTTCAAGACAAGCATTTGTGGTTAAGAAGTATATAATTAAATTTAAAAAAATTTTTTTAGAAAATGACCCATTGTTTCGCTAGATAATACACTTATTCCTCATTTGGGATAATGTAAAGCCCTTTGAAGCTACATTGAAGCAATTTGGACCCTCAACCCATTGGCCAACATTGAAGTCCACTATATGGAGGAAAATCCTGGAATGTTTTCCTCAAAAACCTTTAATTTCTTCGCGACTGAAGAAAGAAAGACATGAACATCTTGGATGACATGGGGGTGAGTAAATTATCAGGAAATTTTCATTCTGGAAGTGAACTTCTCCTTTAAGACTTTTTCACATTGTCTGGCAAATTGGCAAAGTTACAGTTTGCCAATTCGAGTGTTTCCACACTTGACCTGCTCAGTTACGTAGCAAGCTTGATGCTTCTCTCCACAGAGCTCAGTGCACTGGGGAATGCTGACGCGAGTCATATGACAGGACCTTAACTTTAAAAAATTTTAAACCAGTGTAACCAGTGAAACCTTCCATGTGTACTGAGGTAAAAATGGTTAAATTCAAACAAAAACAAATGAAGTATACATCCCGAGTTGCTCTCAAACCACAGCATGAGCTCAGAGAGGGTAATTTGTTTGTTGCTCAGCAACAGGGTTGTTTGCAACTTTCTAAACCACAGGTGGTATAAGTCAAAGTTAACACAGAAGCACCTCACAACCTCTCTCTCTAAAAACACAAAAGAGGACGCTTTAATGAAACCTGAGAGATTTCTGTTGCTCCACTGAAAGTCCACACAACCCAAACTTTGATGCTTTGATGCAAAGTCCATAAAACATAAGAGTTTGAGCACAGTTGCAGTATTTGATGTGCTCTACATATGTTCGATGATGAATAAATTAAATCTGTTCATCAGCAGGCATGCCTCCTCAGATTTGGATTAAACCAATTTAGATGGATTACTTTTTTTTTTTACGATTTCTTTATGAACGTTTTGAAGCATCAAAGTTATAGTGGAAAGGATTTTCAATGAAGAGACAGAAATCTCGTTTTCATTAAAAAGATCTTTATTTGTGTTTCAAAGATGAGCAAACGGTGAGTAAACAGTGACAGAATTTGAATTTTGGAGTGAAATATCCTAAAATAGGTGCCATGTTGAGGGTGTTTATAAAGTGTTGTAGAGCTAGTGGCATCTTATCTGGCCACTGGCCAAGCATTAAATGCGAGTAGAAATTGGCTTGGGTGTGTAAATAAGACTGTTCTTGTGCGTCTTCAAACAACTTTTATCTCAGTGGACATTTTTATTATATATATATATATATATATACACAGTATATCTAATAATATTTTGTTGCTAAATATCTGTTTCATTGCCAGCAAGACATATTTATGGCATATTGAGGAGTGGCAATAAGTTCATTTTGGACTATAATGTGGTAATGAGGTCTGGTTGAGGGTTCATACCTGCAGCTCTGGGAGTGAGAGCAACTCCATCCAGGCCTGATCCAGAGAGCCTGGCAGCAAAGGATTCTGGGTAAAGGCTGGAATGTCTGGGGGCATCATAAGATCTGTGGAAGGAGGATCGGAGGCATCCAGGCAAGGCGGCACTGACTGCACAGAGAAGAGGGAGGCAATTAGACTGAAGTGTAGTGACATGTATAGGTGTTATGTGAGGTGTGAGGTGATATATGGGTGACTTATAGCCCGTGATTACCTCAGCTGCCTCATCTAGTGGAAAAGTCTCCGCCAGGAGCTGCATGCACTCATCGAATGACATGGCATCACCGTCCTGTTCTGCGAAAGCCCCATTCTGCACGTACACAGTCAAATACATCTTAATAAAACCATTGCATCGACACACAGAGCAGGAAACATACATGTAAATGCAGATTCTACAACTGGACTGACTTGACTTAAGTTAATTTTCAAAACAACCTTTGACTTGCAATTATGAACAAAGCATGTCTATGAGTTCATGTACTGATTTGAACAGGATTGGAATCTGTGAAAGTGTTTGTGTAGGCGTTGGGTGTGTTCAGATTTTTAGTTTCTGTAAACGGAGTTGCATGTGCTCTGAATGATATTATGAATTAAATTAATAGTTTAATTATTGCTATTTAACTCATTTAACATATTAATGGAGTCTCAAACTACACTCAGACTTGCCAAGAAACCAAAGTCTGCAATCAAAAGTCATAGATTTCAATGGGATCTTAAACGTTTCTCATCATCCATCATCAAAGTTCTACTCCATGTCAACAATTGTGTCACATATTAATTTCTCTTAAGGGCTTTCTGAGAAACATATGAGACCAAATTGATGCGTTAAGACTTCTGAAAGCGCACAAGTAATAAACGTTTCCTCCAGGCTGGGTTACCTGAAAAAAAAAATGTATTCAATTTGCTCAATCGTTTTCCCAAAATTAAGCATGCTCACATCGAACAGTACTGAAATCCCAGAGTACATCTGTGAAACACGAATTCACATAACCTCTTCAGGGAAAACGAGCTCTTTAGTGTCCTATCAATTTAGTGTCGAGTTTATTTGCTTTCGTAGAACTGAGCTTGGGATGAAGCCTGAGCACCTGAGTTCCAGTAATTATGCCATAGTAGCAGTTTCCAAGCAACTGAGCAGCTGCACCCTGTAATATGAGGGGAGGGTGAAGCCTGTTGAGCACCTACTGTACGTGTGTGTGTGTGTGTGTGTGTATATCTGGTACACATTATGGGGACAAAATGTCCACACAAGGATAGTAATACCAGTAAATTTTGACCTTGTGAGGACATTTTTAGGTCCCCATAAGGTAATAAGCTTATAAATCATACAGAATAAAGTTTTTTGAAAATCTAAAAATGCAGAATGTTTCCTGTGAGGGGCAGGTTTAGATGTAGGACGATAGAAAATACAGTTTGCACAGTATAAATACCATTACGCCTATGGAATGTCCTCATTAAACATGGAAACCCAACATGTGTGTGTGTGTGTGTGTGTGTGTGTGTGCTTGTTTATGCTACATTGTGGGGCCCCCACAAGGATAGTAAAGCCTGACATTTTTGACATTGGAGAAAAGCTGATTAAAATAGTAAATGATGTTTATCTGAAAGTGTAACAATGCAAACAGGTTTCCTGTAAGGGGTAGGTTTAGGGTTAGGGGATAAAAAAAATCCTTTGGTCAGTATAAATGTAATAGAAGTCTATGGAAAGTCCCCACAATTCACAGAAACAAACTCTCAGTGTGTGTTTGTGTGTGTCTCTCTGTCTGTGTGTATGTGTGTGTCTCTCTCTCTCTGTCTGTCTGTGTGTGTGTGTGTCTGTCTGTCTGTCTGTGTGTGTCTGTGTGGCTCTGTGTGTGTGTGCGTGTCTGTGTGTGCATGTCTCTGTGTGTGTGCATGTCTCTGTGTGTGTGCGTCTCTGTGTGTGTGCATGTCTGTGTGTGTGTGTGCGTCTCTGTGTGTGTGCATGTCTGTGTGTGTGTGCGCATGTCTGTGTGTGTGTGTGTGTGTGTGCATGTCTCTGTCTCTGTCTCTGTGTGTGTGTGTGTGTGTGTGCGCGCGTGTCTCTCTCTCTCTCTGTGTGTGCATGTCTCTGTGTCTCTGTGTGTGTCTCTTTCTGTGTGTGTCTCTCTCTGTGTGTGTGTGTGTGAGACAGATCTCAGATCCGCTCTCCTGTTGCCCTGGCATCAATATGCACACTCACACCTCCCTTCCTGCGTCCGGACGGTGTACCTGTGTGATTTGGGCACTGGTCGCGGTGTCCTGCGTCAGCGGGGCGCTCCGCGGCACAAACTCCCCGGTCTCCTCGTCCAGCTGGAGTTGAGCGAGCAGCTCTTTCTCCTGCTCCCGCTGCCGCTGCTGCCGCTGCTCCTCTTCCTTCTCACGCTGCAGTCGCAACTCCACCTCCTTCTGTCTGTAGCTGAAATCAAACACCTCCCTGCCCGCTCCCAGATCCACGTCCTGCCTCCACAGGATATCTATCAGATCCATATCCTGGAGAAACACAGCAGAGATGAAGATGAGAGGAGGAGCTGGCCGCACCCTGCCTGTCGAGCCTGCGCCGCCTCAGATAAGCACTCAGTGCATCGTCAGCTATGAATAATACATGCCGCTTCTCCCTTTTCACTCCATCTCTGGGAACCACCAGATCACCCACCAACGCAAACACACACGGTTTGTGTTACTATAAATGCTAGTGGCAGATTTAAAGGTCAGTTCAACTCAAAAGCACAGCGGCTGGAAAAAATGAATGCTGCAAACTTCGTATTTCTGCGAGTGAATCATTCATAGGCCGTTTGTGGGAAGTTGACATGTCCTGTGGTGTGTGTGACATGATTGATATCTAAAACTATTTAACAGAATTTTTTATTTACTTCATCATTATTATGCATGCTCATGTTTTTTGATAGATTGCGTGAGATTTTAGTCTTTGAAAAGTGAATCTGTCACACTGCAAGACTATTCAAATAGCTAGTGAAGGCAAAGGGATTTCTACGGTGGCCGAGAAGTGCAGAACAAATCACAATTCTGAAAACAAATTACAAACGCAAATGCAAGACTAAAAAACAAAATAACAATTCAGAAAACATTATAACAAGTCAGAAAACACAATGACAAATTCAAAAACAAAATAACAAGTCAGAAAACACAAGGACAATTCAGACAAACCGGAAAAAAGGTATGGTATAGTTTGAGGCAGCTCCATTGGTTTGGGATTACTCACCGCTGACTGGACGAGACATCTGTCAATCAACGTTTACAGGAAGAACCAGCCGAAGAACAGCAGAGTCGTGGTAGAGAGTTCGGAGATGGTATTAAAGTAGCTCAGTTTAAATGTATTGTATGAATTGCCCTTACTATTGAATAAAAAATAGGGAGTGTATATTTACATTTAGTTAAAAGTGGCTGTAGAACATCAGCTCCAGTGGCGCAGATGGATAAGCGTTTGTTGTCGGCTTTTTGACGCGATTGATCCGGGTTCGATCCCGCCTTTTGCCGAACTTTTTTTTTCTCCCTTTTCAAATCTCAGACATGGAAGTTTGCTCTGAAAATTCATTTCTGTACATTTTTTTACATTTAATTAAATTTAATATTAGTTTTATTAGTGTTTTGAATAGTTGTATTAATGTTATTATTTTTAATAAATTTATATAATACTAATACTAATTTTATTTTAATTTTTTTAATGAAATTCAAGCAGCATTTATTTTACTGTTTATCTGGCTTAAGTCTCTCGTTCCTCAGATGTTTCTCCCGAGAAAAAGACTCCAGTAATCTTAAATGTGTGTTCGATTTAAAAGAGATGCTCATATTGTTTGACAGATTACATCAATATTTATTTTTTGAAAAATTAGTCTCTCTGCAGGACCATTTAAATAAAACTACTGACGGTTTGCTCTAAAAATTTATTTCTGTAAATTTAATGTTATGTGCTCTGATTAATTTGATTTAATTATTTAATTTAATTTTTAAAGGTTTTATTAATGTTATGAGTTTTTATTTATTATGTATTAATTTCATTAATTCTATTTTGTGTTTTAATAAAAATATATATTTTATTCCATCCAAATCACCCACCCAACCTCCTCAGAAGTTTTATAGGTTTGAGTTTTATTATTTGACAGGCTATATGAGATAACTATTTGAAAAAAAATTTTTGTCACCCTGCAGGACCATTTACAATTAACAAATTAATGCAAATGTGTTGGTGACCAGTTAAACTTGTTGAAACTCTTTTTTTTTTTTAAGATATATGGGTACATTTTAAAAGTCAGAATTGTGAGATGTAAAGTCAGAATTGTAAGATATTTTTATTTTTATTTTTATTCAGTGGTGGAAACGGGCTTCCATAATCTTCAGTATACAAATAAGAATATTATTTTAATTCTGGTTTTAACATTGGCCATTTTGTCCATCCATTGAAAGCCCATCCAAATCTAGCACACAAAAAAAGTACAAAGATCATCGTAAAAGTAAACCATATGAATCAAGCTGTTTAAGTAGTCTAAATAGACACAATTGCTTGATGTGTTAAACATATTTCATTAAGTTAATTAAATATTAAATTAATTTCTATTTTTATTCACATGTAAACACTGATCAATGCAATACAGTACATGGAAGCTCAACCATACTTGCTTAAGTGTGAGAACAAACCTTGAAAAAGTTTGCGTGACACAAAGAACAAACCTCATTGGTTCCTGCCCATCAAACAAGTGCATTTGAGTTTCTGTTGACCATTTTTGATGTGCATTTCTATGTGTTGTTGTGTTTATATGTGAATAAAAACATAAATTCAAGCTGTGTATAAAGTTTTAACTGCTTGATTTATATTAACTATTTTTACAGTGTACAAATGTGAACACGTGTACATTCAATGGAGGGACAGAAATCTCTGAGGTTTCATTAAAAATATCTTCATTTGTGTTTTGAAGATGAACAAAAGTCTTACGGTTCAGAACGACATGGCATGTAATATCATAATAATATCATTCTCGGCCAGTCAAGCGCTATAACCTGCAAAATCGTACACTTCTTCCAGTTCAAATGTTACACGCCAGCAGATGAGGCATTTATAAATGCAGGTAATTAAACATCTTCCCAGGCTGAGTGACAAAAATATTTATGAAACCTTGGCCTCTGTATTTTCTTGATTGATAGTTGCAGGAACTAAGAATGGAGATATGCCTTACTTCGTCTTTAACCTCCTCTACCGTTTATTTACACAGCGAAAGCTTTGCACAAACCGTCTGCAGCGCTGCATTTATTTGTTTATGAGGTCAGAAAAACCATGTCGAGCATGTGACTCGAGATCTGTAGAAAATCAGCTTCCTAAACATCTTCCCAGGCTGAGTGACAAAAATATTTATGAAACCTTGGCCTCTGTCTTTTCTTGATTGATAGTTGCAGGAACTAAGAATGGAGATATGCCTTACTTCGTCTTTAACCTCCTCTACCGTTTATTTACCTGCGTAATATCATTGCGCCTGCTGCACCCATATCACAGCAACAAAGTTCCTTGATTATTACGCCGGAATGAGAGTATAGTTCCTAGCCATATCAGTCAGTCTTAGTACACGATGTAACTACAGAAGAGTCCAGTTTTAAATAGGAAAAATATAGAAACTCTTTGGTCATTTTTGAGCGCGATGCTAACGGTCTAATCAGATTCAATGATCTATGCTAAGCTAAGCTAAAAGTGCTACCGCCAGACCCGGAGATCGGCTGAATGGATTCGAAAACGGTAAAACTCAACTGCTTAACTCTAGGGGAGTTGGAAAATTAGCCTATTTTCAAAAATAGTGGAGTGTTCCTTTAACTAAATATGGCAACAAAAATGTTTATTTTTGACTAAAGAACTGTTTCTGAATTTTCAATTAATTATTATTATTATTAGTCAAATGTTTTCTTCTGCAGTATTTATTATATAATTCTGCCAGCACATAAATTCTTATGATTCTTACAATTTGTTTTATTTAAACACATATCAACTACAAATTTATTTAAAAAATGTTTATAACAATATAATGATACAAGTGTTTATTTTTGACTAAAGGTGTCACGAACTGTGTCGGAGGGAACGAATGCGGAGACGTGGATCAAAGAAGTCTTTAATAAATCCAAACACAGGGGATAGCCACAACAAGGAATGGCTGGTGACACACGAACATGACGATTTAGACCCGACAAAGACAGACAGCACAGACTGGGACTTAAATACATGGGGTAATGAGGACAATTAACACGACACACCTGAATCACATGAACACGATCAACAAGAGACAGAAACTGGGTCACTGAGAGCACATGGGGAAGGAAAACATACACACAGACAGTCCAGGGGCATGACAAAATTACAGTTTCTGAATTTGTAATTTATTTAATTTATTATTATTATTATTAATAATTATTATTAGTAGTAGTAAATTGTTTTCGTGTTTAGTATAATTTTTTATTTGTTATTATTATTAATAATAATACATTTACATTTAGTCATTTAGCAGACGCTTTTATCCAAAGCGACTTACTAATGAGGACAATGGAAGCAATCAAAATCAACAAAAGAGCAATGATATGCAAGTGCTATAACAAGTCCCAGTTAGCTTAATGCAGAAGACTTTTTCTTTTTCTTTTAATTATAATAATTTTACCAGCGCATACATTCTTAGTCAATTCAATTTTTATAAACATATCAATTATAGATGTATTTAAAAGATGCTTTATAACAATATAATGATATGACTGATTGCATGAGATCCTGACAGAGGCCTCCAGACAGCAACATGGAGCCACATGCCCGTCTCGCTCTGAGTCACACACATCCTCTCCAGCTCCAGATAACAGACGGACTTACTAATGAGGACAATAGAAGCAATCAAAACTAACAAAAGAGCAATGATATGCAAGTGCTATAACAAGTCCCAGTTAGCTTAATGCAGAAGACTTTTTCTTTTTCTTTTAATTATAATAATTTTACCAGCGCATACATTCTTAGTCAATTCAATTTTTATAAACATATCAATTATAGATGTATTTAAAAGATGCTTTATAACAATATAATGATATGACTGATTGCATGAGATCCTGACAGAGGCCTCCAGACAGCAACATGGAGCCACATGCCCGTCTCGCTCTGAGTCACACACATCCTCTCCAGCTCCAGATAACAGACGGGGCGGAGCCTCAGAGATGATGAAACATCTAAACAACTGCTAAACGGGCCCCTCTCACGAGAAGACGGAGCGGACCCTCTCCTCTAGCATGAGCAGAAGCGCTCTCTTCCTCCTCAGAGCAGAAGGAACGATGAACGTGTGTTTCCGACTGTTTAGTGGAAATGTTTCTTTAAAGAGCCTCTTGCTGTCAAAACATATTCTGTTGTTTATGAGTGCATTACAAAAGCATATGTTGTCAATTCAATGATACATAGCTAAAAACAAAACGGGTCTATTATATTATACAGGTATTATTATTATTATTATTTCTTTTGTGAAACACTAAACAAGGTGTTTGGCAGTTAGTTTGAGCTTTTGTTGACCATGCAAAGGGATAACATACAAAAATATAATAAAATAAATAAAATGACATTGGAAGCACTATAAAAGTCTCATAAAAATAGTACTACTTGTACACTATACAGGTCTTTTAAGTCTTTCGAAGCCATATTATCCTCTTTTCTTGTCAAATTATATTTGGGTTTTTATTGTAAATAAATGATCATATTATTATACACATAAATAAAACGAAAACCTAAAAAAAACGTTACTTTTTTAAGTAATAAATTAAAAACTAACACTATATAGATATTTGAAAATACATTTAAAAATGACAAACACAACAAAATGACTAACACTTTAACTAAAACGAAAATGAAAACAGAAAATATAAAAATGTAATCCATTTCAAAATATTTACAAAAACTATCACAGTATTTGAATGATACTAAATTAAAAAGGAAACAATATGGCTCTGAAGGAGTAAATGAGGGGGAAATAATCAGCATTTGTTGGTGAACTATTCCTTTAAAGCGAAAGGAAGAATAGGAAGTTTTGTGAGCGTTTTTGATCTGATGTATAATCACTCATTATGTATTAAATATCTGCGTAGTGAAAATATGTGAATGCGAGGCTAATCAGAGCAGTATGTTTGCATATCCACAAGCCTATGGATGGGAATGTATTTAGAAGCGAAAAGTATGTCCAGGACACACCCAACTACATAATTAATGCCCAAAGTGTTGCTATCATTGTCCAGGTTCAAGGAAGCGAGAAAGCAGAGCTGGATATTAAAACTGCAAAGTTTCCTGATAAAGAGGAGATTATTTTTCACGCCTGTCTCACTTCCTGTTCCTCTAGACTGCGGGAATGTGGAATATACCGTTGGAGGAACAAGAGAGCTCCTTGTTCTCTCATTTTTTTCACTGCACGGTTGAGGCAGGTGATACTGCACGTAATCAGCATCAAAACCAGTTCGCCAAACAAACCCTCGTATTATTACACTCTCAGTGTTTCCAAGCAGCTGAACTGACTGAAACATCTCAAAATGAACACTAACGACAACTAAACGAATAATAAACTAGTTCTTTTGTCAGATTATGCTTTATTTTAAAACAGGGTCGTCACGCTGTCCCGGGCCCTGCATGGGGCCAGAGGGGCCCATTTTAAATGGCCCTGATTTTTAAATGCCAATAAATACTAAAACAAATGACTGAGGCCTATACTGTTTATATATAAAGATCGAGTGTGTGAAACTTTACTAATTATGAAACAAAGAAGAAGAAAATCTTATTACAAGCATCTAAACATTTGTTACTCATAAATCTCGTTCCCGTCAACATATTTAAATGTGTGCTTTGGGCATCAGCGCACACATGTAAGTTTAAGGAGCACTTTTATTAGTAACACTGACATACTTGATTACGTTATATACTGCTAAACAGATCATTAAGTAGCCTAAAGCACGCCGCACAATAATTCATTAGCTTTAAAGCGTTCCTTGTGTGTTTTATAAACTCTCGTTTAACATAAAATGATTCTAGCATGAAAGCTGTGAGTCTTAAATGTGTCAAATATCTGTATCCCTCAATAAAATGGGAATTTTGGCACCTGTATCACACCTGTATTTATAACTGTATTTCACATAATCATACAATGTCATAATTTTGACATGATCTATAAATAGCAAATATGTATACAATATAGTAAAATGAATATTTCTTATGTAATTTATAGGACATATGTTAATAAACTACAAGGCCCTAGTAAGTGACAGCTTCATTTAGGCTGTTGTTACCCATTCTGGTGTGTATATGTGTTTTTATTATTATTATTATTATTATTTTTTTTTTTAAATAATAATGTTTTGTTTTGTATTTTCAATGCAGGCTTGCAAAAACTCCAAGAGATATACATAAAATAGCTTATAAACTTTAGTTTGACCTTTTGTGATTAGCAATCAATATTTTCTGAAGGTTTTTATTTTACGCAAGAATTTTAGGTTTCAGTTCCCCATTCAAATGATGAGAAATGTCTCAAAACCTTGATTCCTATATTTTCACGCATTCACTTCTAAATGTGAATGCACCACTGATCTCTTCAGTAGGCTAATATTTCTCAATGACTTAAAGGTCCCATATTGTACACCTTTCTGGAGTTTTATTTGAGGTTTTGATGTCCTAATGAATATATATTTGCAGTATAAGTACCAAAAACCATCTCAATATATTTCTACAGCTCCTCTCTCAGGAGCTCTGCTGAGAACAGGTCGAGTTTGGCCTGTCTAATTAATATTCATGAGCCTCTCTTCTGATTGTCCTGTTGTTTTCTGAGTGACGCACGGCCAGGCCAACCACAGGTAACTAGCTACATCACAGCGCTAGCTGGAGGCAGCAAAACAAAGGGGAAACTGGAGGCGGCCCATTCAAACCAGCGCAGATTCGGCTACATAAGGAGCTTAAAATATAATTTTGTTGTGATGTTGGGTGCCAGAATCAACATAATATAGCCTCAAATTAGAAATTTGATTGCATATCTGCTGCCACTGCCAGATAAAAAACCGACGACAGCTGTGGTTAAACGTGATAAAACGAGCAGACTGGACAGAAACGATAGTCAAAAATGCTCTTGTTTGCAGCACACACTTTTTTTCAGAAAAGGTTCAATAAAGTATTGTCTGTTGTTGTTATGGGCGCGTCTACAGATTTCTTGCCATATGTCTATGTTTCTTGCATCTCACGACTATGTCGTGTATGAAATAATATCCGTGTGCATGCGTGTAAAACAACAAACTGACGATTTCTATATAATCATTTGCAATTGTATATACATTGTTGTGATTAATTGTGGCTGGAACAATAATGTAGCTGAAAAAATAGTTGCCTGCTGAAATTGAAATCTTCATCATGACTAGATAGACACGGTGAGTTTGTCTTTACTATACGTTACACGTTAGATGTGATCCACCGCATAGTAGCAATCCTGTCAGATCGTCCATCCTTTGAGTGAGAACGTTACAGGTCGGCCGATCTGGTTTCGTGGTTAAAGTTAACCTTTTCGACATGTTTCCGTGTTGTTGTTGTTGCTCAGCAATGGCATGGACGCGATGTTGTCTGGGGGTGTGGCTAAAGGAGAGTGGGACGGTGGGCGGGGCTCGGGGAGGTGACTGTGTAGTTCTAACGTCAACTTTTTACGGAAGTCACCACGGTTCGTGAAAAATCACAGCTACTTTATGCAGGCTGTGTGCATTTTACTGTGGACTGACTGTTTTGGAACTTATATGGTAGTTACATAGCACCTAGACCTCAGTTATCGTGAAAAAAGCCAAGAAATTTCAGTTTTGACAGTATGGGACCTTTAATACTGAAAGTTTTTTTAATGTGTTTGACCTAAAACCCCAGGTCCTTATTTCAGTTAGATATACAGAACTGCATGAGCTGTGCTACAGACTAATCACACAAAGCCGAGGATCGCCAGGGTACGAGGCTACAGTAAACAGCACATTCCAGATTGGAGCCGCCTGCTATTGTGCAAGGCGCCGGTGAGTGCGCATGCGCAGACGCGTCTGCTGCGGGAAACACGCGAAAACATCAAAGCTCGGCGACACGCGCGTCTCGCGACAGAAGTTCCACCGTGAGCCTGCTTCGGGTCGCGGCACCAGCCATCACGCACTGGGACCATGTATAGTTACCTTTCTTTGGATATTTGTCCTTTCTTTCGTTCTGAGGACGGCCCAAGTTCAGTGACTATGCAGAATTTGGAGTGAACGGAAGAGTCGCGAGAAAACGGGATAACGTGAGGAAACGCCTCCTTTAACGCGGACTATTTATTAATTATATATATATATAAAAAAATATATATAAGACGATTTCGCCACTACAGCCACGTCACAAATTATAATAAAATATCCTCGATAATTATCATCTTGAAACTTTAAAATCAGGAATAATAGGCAAGGCTATTAAAAAGTCAGAGTGGTGTGTATAAGGCAGTGTGCTCTGGTCACACATATATATGGCATAAGCAATAAATACATCTGAATACACATGTCCCACATTACCGGCTCAAAGAGCGAAATGATGTAACATCACAGTACAATTAGGAAAAGTGTGATTTCTTTTTCATTTTAGTATCCTTTCATTATTATTGAAAGCGAAACATTATTATAGCATAAGTGACGCTGTTAATTATTATTAAATATTATTTACCTGTTGGCTTGGATGCATTTTAGGCACTTCAATCTCCATCATGCTGAGAGAAAATCTCTCCTTTTCTGTTGTAACTCCTGATGTGATTTCTTTGTTTTCAATCGTTCTCAGCGAAATAAAACGAGGCTTGAGATAAACAGGTCGCTGCTCGACGCCGTACTTCAGAAGGAGACGCTGTCTGCGGAGTTCAGATCATTTACGGAAAGCCCCAGTCATTCGATGGCCCCGCCCACACTCGCGCTGGCCAATAGAAAGCGCCCGCTGAGCTGTTGCGTGACACGCCCCTTTTTACTTCCCACTCAAACCCTCCTGAATATGAACTGAGCTGAACCCTTTTCCTTTATTTTAGCAAGAACTTTATATAGAGCTATACTTTATTTATATATATTTTTTCTAAAATGCCAAAAAGCAAGAAAGCGGTTTGGGGAATAGCATGTACTTTATTACTTCAACATAAATATTCTAACCAAATATTCAAAGCTTATCTTAACAGATGAGTTTGTAAGGGTTCAAAAATAGTTTTGCTATTTTTTAAAAATATGAAAGCGACTCCTGTGACAACAGCAAGCACATCACATGAGGTGCTGGTCTAGATGGAGCAGGTTGCTGCACCTGCAGTGGACTCAAAACGATAGGCCTGCTTCTGTGCATAGACTTTTCTTAGCGCTTAGTAAACCTGTACAAGCGTACACAAACGTGCTAACCTACAACCTACTAACTCCCGTGGCCTGCATGTCTGTCAGATAGCGACCCCTGCTGTTCGGCCTTATGCTTTTCCTATTGCATATGTGCGTTTTTGTGTGGTTTTTTTCAGTGTAATTAATCTTCAACCTTTTAAACCGCAATTTAACCACCCTAACCAATTTAAGAGTTTATAATTACAAAACCTTAAACCATACGAACATTAAAATGTTGCTTTTGGCTCACCGTGTTGGCCTGTATGTGAATGATCTGTCTGGAATGATGCATGGAATGTTGAAATGGTCACTTGACAAAAACTATAATTACTGTTGTTAAAAGATCAACCCACACCGTGACACTTAGCTAAATCATGCTGTCAACTGAGTGCAAAGTGTATTCTGTGCTGCCTATTGCAATAGGCGTTTCATCAGCAACGGGCGTTTTTGGCCCTGTGGACTTTTATAAACTCTCTAAAAGCACACTTTCACTAGTTTGTGTGCTTTGTGAACAAACAATGTCCAACAGTGTGCATCACATGAGGAATCAAGCCATGAACATTTCCATTGTGCAATAAAACAATGCATTGTGGTGCAAATTGCGATGAAATTATATTTTAAACATTTTGGAAGAAAATGGTAGCCTATTCTTAAGGCCGCTTGCATAGCATTTATGTATCCTAAATGCATAAATAATTTTCACAGTTTTTATTTATTTATTGAATCATTTGATAAAAATCGCAGCTTGATTGGAAATGATGCACACAAACAAAAAATATTCTGTACACAAATTATATTTACCTTGATTTTCCTTTATGTCCCAAAGTTCATTTTAAACTTATCTATCTATCTATCTATCTATCTATCTATCTATCTGTCTGTCTATCTATCTATCTGTCAGTCCGTCTGTCTCTCTATCTTTCTGTCTGCCTGGCCCTGTGGACTTTTATAAACTCTCTAAAAGCACACTTTCACTAGTTTGTGTGCTTTGTGAACAAACAATGTCCAACAGTGTGCATCACATGAGGAATCAAGCCATGAACATTTCCATTGTGCAATAAAACAATGCATTGTGGTGCAAATTGCGATGAAATTATATTTTAAACATTTTGGAAGAAAATGGTAGCCTATTCTTAAGGCCGCTTGCATAGCATTTATGTATCCTAAATGCATAAATAATTTTCACAGTTTTTATTTATTTATTGAATCATTTGATAAAAATCGCAGCTTGATTGGAAATGATGCACACAAACAAAAAATATTCTGTACACAAATTATATTTACCTTGATTTTCCTTTATGTCCCAAAGTTCATTTTAAACTTTTCGGAGCTAAATTGTTAAAATTACAGTAGTTAAATAATCAATAATAATCAATAGAAATCATTTTCACACAATAAATATTGAATTGTTTTCATTTATTCAATTTTCTCATAGTGTTAAACATGCAACAAGTGATATTAAGTTACTAACTAAAAGTCTAGATCTGGAGGAAGCGTAAAAAAATAACAGGCATTTGAAAAGTAACAGAAATACATGATGAAGGCATTGTTTTTTTTAAGTTTTAATGTGAACTTCATATAAAATAGTTATATATATATATATATGTATATATATCAACCCTTATATATGCCTTCATCTATCTATCTATCTATATATCTATCTATCTATCTATCTATCTCATCTAACTTCTTCTAATAGCCATTATGGAGCTACAGGAGTCCTGGCCTGGCTCCTTTCACTTCCAGCTCTGAAGTACTTTGGTCAGTCTCGCCTGTCAACTATCACTATAAAGATGTATATATAATTATTGTTACTATTATAACTATTCTATACTCCCTAAAACAATCCCACCTACTTCAACTTAAAAATCGGCGAATTGGCTGTAAAAGGCAAGTCAGTGTTTTCAGTTTTTATTTAATTTTCATAATATTTTTCATAAGATCCTCAATCTTTCAAAAATGTTCTGTCTATATATATATATATATATTAATATACTGGCCTAAAATTATCAAGTTGAATCTCATCCATCTTATTTCTTCAGCTCACCACAAAAGAAGATATTTTGAAGAACGTTGGTAACCAAACAGTTGACGGTAGCCATTGACTTCCATAGTATGGGAAAAAAATACTATGGAAGTCAATGGCTACCGTCAACTGTTTGGTTACCAACGTTCTTCAAAATATCTTCGTTTGTGTTGAGCTGAAGAAAGAAACTCATACAGGTTTGGAACAACAAGAGAGTGAGTAAATGACGACCAAATTTTCACCTTTTTTGGGTGAACTGTTCCTTTAAATTATTTTGATAAGTTCAAGCAACCATGTGTTATATAAATAATTATTATTATTATTTTTTTTACAGAGAAATGTAACATGTCTGTTTTTTTCAGAGGGTCGTGCTGCAGAGTTTCACCGAGAAGAAGGAAAATGAGCAAGCAGCACTGTGGCTTTCCAAGTAAAGTTCTGTAATACACTCCGACTCTAATTGTTTGCAGTCAGTGCATTACAGAACTTTGTTTTGGGAGTTTAAAGCTCAAGCCTGGAGGAAACAATCATTCCATCTGTAACAGCCTCTTGAAAACAGCAGTAAACTCCACATCCTGTGTCCTTCAACAACATTATCATCATCTCCTGCCTTTACATGATCATTCCTTTAGCTTTAACTGCTAACGGACATCGGAAACAGGAGTTACTTCTATGATCCTTTTTCAGAATGTGTGCTCCAAGCGCCCAATTAGCATAGCGGAGGCTATACCACAACTGCTAAATGTCTAAAAATAACCGTTGCACAGTAACACACACCACTTTCCAATTAGGCATTCCATTCCGTAACCTCAGTAAACACAAAAATGTGGCATTTTCCATTGTAAAAATGATGCTTCTCATATTTACGAGAGAAAGCACTTTAAATGGAGAGCCTACATGTTTGTGATGACATCATTAGACCCACAGGAGGCAGAGGAGTTACTCTCACGGTCACATGACTCGGAAGGACACAGGTAATGGCACTATAAGTGGGTTAACAGGCCTGACATGCGTCATCCATACTGTTTTTCTTTTTTCTAAGAGGACGGAGAAGAAATTGTATTGGCCCTGACAGAAGAGATTTTCAGTCATAAATGTGATTCTGAAATACTAGTATGCATCTGGGAAATAAAAGTGAGACGTTTTGTTGGAAGTGCATTTAAAGTACATCTGTGACTGATTAGTCAAGCACATAAAGATTGAAGCGGCACAGATCCCATTTAACCCGTGAGGGTGCTTCGCATAAGTTCAGAATAATCATTTATAAACACATTGACGGACTGCTGACATATGTCTCGTTAAGTATGGTTTCTGAATGTGATGCTATCATGTCAATTTCTGATCATTTAATATTCTTCCAGAGATGCATTTATTCAAAATGACTATCTTTGGCATCCAAGAGTGTACTATACCTGAAGAGACTCTTCATGTTGAAGTGATTTATGGTTCTTCACACCTGCAATTTCAAAGCAAGGCTCTTTATGGAACACGAAAAATGTGGCAAAAGTAGTTTGTTGTTGTTGCAAGCTAAATCAAACTGCTGTTTAGAATGGACTCTGACTACAGTTCGATCACTTTTAGATTATTTTTGACCTAACTCGCTTATCACATAGATTTGATTTGCATTATTGTGTACTATATTGATACAAAAAATTATAAATAAAAGAATTTGTATTGTGCATTAAACACGAAAGCTTTTCAAAGACATAACACATGGTTAAACTGACTCGTAAATGATTAAATTATGAATAATTGTGTGAATAATTTCATCAAAATTAATAAAAACTACTATTATATATGTGTATACACACGCACACACACACACATAGCATTATTCGATTATTGTAGAATTTTACAATTATTATTTTAGAGTTATTTAAAATATGAACACAAACTATGAAAATGATTAAAAATGTATATGTTTTGATGTATTAATTATGAATAATTGCCACTGTGTGAATAATGTCATCAAAATGCATTTAACATAGGCTATAACATATAACATTTTCAAATGTAATGTAATCTAATAGCTATGTAATACTCTATTACAGCTATAATATTTGTAAGTACATACTTACAGATTACTTAATCAGTTACCAGCCCTATATATAGCCTATATATTTTGTCAATTCATATCTTTGACGATTTTATTATTATTGTAGAATGATTACATTTGAAATGTAATGTAATCTAATTACAACTATAATGTTTGGAATCAGATTTTGTATTTGATTAGGCTACTTAATTACCAGCACTATATATAGTTTGTTATTTTATAGTTTTTAGTTTGTTACCTTATTTTATTATTATTGTAGAATTGCTATATTAGAATGATTAAATATGTATTTAAAAAACACCTAAATACTATCTCTATATATATATATATATATATATAATTTTTACCTGGTATTATTAGAGATAAGATAGTGATAGATACTGAAAAAGTGCTATCTACTAACTAAAAATAAGCAGCATGGTTGAGGGT